TTACCAACTAATCTGAACTACACCTCAACAGTTCATCTATTACATATTGCTGAGTCTGGCTGTTGGAATCTACAGTAAGGAGCCTAACCTGTGCGTCCAAAGGAAATAAGTTCCGACGCTTTCTTCATCTTGATCATTAAGATTCAGTTATCCTCAATTTGTTGTGGAACTTTCCTTAATTTTATTTGATATTATATTTTTATGTTTACTACAACTTAAGCGTCTTTCTTGAACTGTAATTTCACTGATCTTACTAAACAAATCGATAGTATTTAAAAAACACCAATATTGTTAATGACGACTGTTTTGTATTATCTGTGTTCTATGACCTGGTTGATTTAATTGAGAGGCTTCCACCATCCTTCTAGACAACATCTTCAGCACAGGTTTTAATCAAATCCAAATCCAAGAACACAAATCAGCTCTAAAAAGACATTATGTATACTCTTTTGTATCAATGCAGACAGATAATTATGGACACGTACAATTTGACTGGGATAATGTAGAAATTTTAAATTGAGGAAACACCAAAAATACTGTCACGGAATTCCTAGAAGGCTGCTACTCAAATGAATCAGCCAGTGATAAACAAATACATTCTTATAAACCAATTTCACCAACCAATAAAAAGTAAATCTCATGATAAGAAAGTTCGAATTCCAAGTGCATGCAAATGATCAATAGAGACGTAAATTAACAACTTGTCACGAAAGTGGTCATCAGGAGATACAAATACATGATCCTTGGAGAATTTAAATTAGTTCATTTAATACTATAACCTGTACTGAAGGTGTTGTTCAGAAAAGGAGATGACAAAAGCTTCTCAATTATCTCAGCCAGTTCAGAGAACACAACAAATTCAATTTCAAGTATTGGTTTTGTAGGGATTTAGTTTGATTGGATGGAGGATTTCATGATGAGCTGATATTAGTTAGAGAACCACTGGAAAACCAACTGGGAGTGCTGGACAGCTGTTTCGCCAGCCTAGTTTGAGACTCTTCATCAGTACGCACTCAACGGTGTAAAACCCAGGTAGCGCTACGTCGTGAATTCGGAGGAGTAAGAATTCATTGGCCATTGAATCTGGTCCCAGTGGCTTAGTGGTCTACGAGCTCGCCTTGTAACCAGAAGTTCCTGGTTTTGAACCCCGACAGTGAGTGCATACTGATTAATAGTCCCAAACTAGAACGAAACGGCTGTCCAGTACCCCAGGTTTTCCAGTGGTTCTCTAACAGATGTCAGCTCATAATGAAATCCTCCATCTAATCTAGTTTCATCTACCTGAGCTACAAATCTTCCCCATGAATGACAATTATTCTAGAATATTCTGTGTATAAATGTATGTATCTAAAAATGTATAACCGGAAGAGGAAATTATCAAAAAGAATATTCTCTGCTCTCATTTTCTATTGTCTTCTAAACACCTGAAAAGGGGTAAATCAACTGGTATGCTCCATATTGATCTTCATATTAACATCCAATAAAGGGCGTACAATAACAATACGAGGTGTATATAACACTTAATGAAGAAATGAAGTTCAAATAAATCGAATCTCTACAAATGTAGTTATATATATACATGCAACGTGCACCCTGACTTCAGAAATTACCTCAATATTACTGTCTGAATGTAATCATGCCAAGGTGAAAAAGAATGAGCCAAAATTTCCTACCTCATAAATCGATTAAACAAAAGTAGTAATACAGTTAAAAATTAACTGCAAATTTTAGTTATGTATATGTATTGTATCTTTATGTTCTTTTTAACATGCATTTTAATGCATATGATACTTTTCCTGCTTGCAAAAAAAAATCATGTTTTGAAATGGAAAACAGGTGGAAGGTGGATTGGATTCAAAATTGAATTAATCAATTAGTATCCGTCTCTTATCAAAGTTAAGGCTTTTTTCAAATTAGATAACACAAAGTATGCGATGAAGCTGTGTCACAGAGAAACTGCTTCAGCTTTTATTGACAAAACAAGTGCTGTCCATATAACTGGATCGTAATAACAGTGAATGAGTGACTGTCATTCAAATCTTTGACTCTCCTGATTCAAAAGTTAAATAAGAAAAGTAGTAGAAGCACATCTTAGTCCTGTGGCTGGCTGACTGACTGACTGTCTATTAGTGATGATATGCTCTTTCCTATTCACATACCTGTCTGACGAAGAACCTCAACTCACTTTCCATAATGGGTAAATTTTATTTAGATAAAGTCCCACATTGTTATACAGTAATATTTACTGATGACGTTTCGAGCACAGTTTATTACCCATAATCATATCAAGGTACTCACACGACTTCTTAACTTCATTTATATAGTTCCAATATTTTTTTACCTGATTTTCGCTTGATTTGATTGGTAGTAGCATTTTCCACATTTCAGGTATGAGTGATGAATCATTCCTATTGCATGTGTTGGGTGTAGACTCGATGAACAAGGATCCAGTAATCAACCTCTCTCTCCACCTAACTAGATTACTATTTAGAATTTTAACCCTCTCCCACCCTATTGTGTGATTGTGGGTTAATGAGCTTTTTTCTAAATTACTTATCTTCGCGGAGTCAATCATTCTAACCTTAGCTATATTCTTGTGGTCTGATAATCTCACTACTCCTGATCTAATAGTCTGACTCACCTATGTAGTTGACTTGACTCAGACTCATTGCAGGGTATTTTGTAAATTATATTATTTTGTCTAATTGGGTCAAATGGATCGTTTAACATACAGAGCTTGTCCCTGATAGAGTTTGTAGGTTTAAATGCCACCCTAGTTCCTGTTTTATTTAGAATCCTACGTAGGGTCTCAGATGTCCCCCTCTTCATATGGTATAACTGTAGATGACTTATATTCCTTCTTATTTATGTTATTATTACTATTTATTTTGGCCTTCTTCGATCTTCTGAATGAATTTTAAAGGATAGTTATTTAACACCAACTCCTCTTCTATCTGTTTTATTTAATCATTTAAGTCTTTTCTTGTGCTACTTAGGTGTTACTGCTCGGTTTGTCAAACACTTAACTAAGCCTGCCTTAACAGTTAACGGATGAGATGAATTAAAGTCTAAATATCTATCAGAATGAGTTTATAAAGCAAAAAATATACCACAGTCAGAAAAGACATCTCTAAAATAAATAACTGAAGTCATGGGCTCAGAATTATGTCGAAGACTCAACTTAATCCCCCTGGAAAATGTTTCTCAACTAGTTTACCTCTTTCACATTCAATCGTATGCACAACTGTGTCGATGTTTAGTGAAATGCAAAATGAAAATGTCTCCAGGTAGTCAATCAGATCTTCTCGCCATGCAGTGGGTATGATGAACAACGACCAGCAGGTAACCATTATCAATGAAGTTGTCTAAAAATGTTGATTATTCACATAGGAAATCTTAAGGCAAACAATAGGCGAATACAGATGGCTAACACTGTTGGTTAAATTATGCAGTAATACCACAGGTGTAATACAAACTGAATAAACCTACAAAATATTTTATTTTTATTTTTTAGTTGTGAATAATATCTATTAATAAACCTAACACATCGGATATGAAAATGTATTCTTTCTGAAAGACGACGAATGGCCACGTGTATAATAAAATGTTGTCTAAATAACCGATATGTTCCGAAAAGACAAATGTGCTAGACGTTTGCCTGTAAGAGCATAGTGTTTTGAAAAAAGGATATCTGTAGATATAGTGGATAATTTGGAGCTAGTTGTGTTCACTATGAAGTCATACTGACGTTTGTGCTGAAGATATCTCCAAGAATGTGATTGAAAGCTTCTCGAATAAATGACCTGGCTGAGAGAACACAGCCACATCAGAATCTAGTATTTGTATACTTTGGTTTTGGAAACCTGAAATGATCGCTTTGACTATCTTTGCAGCTGTGATTTAACCCAGAAAAGAAGCCATACAATCGCAGTTACCGTGAGTGAATTATTGGTCGACTTCTGCAAAAATACCATCTTAATAGGAAGTTATATTATACACTAAAAGGTCTATCTATCTAGTAAATGAAATGTTCCCTATGCCAAATACTTATTTTGTCACCAGTCTATCCATGCATAAAACTATAAAACAAAATTATTGTTAGGCATTATTGAATTTTTCACAGCTTATGCAGAATGACATCAGTTTTTACTCTGGATTAAGATAACATATTAACACAGACTCCTATCACATGTTAGCCGATATCAATTGGTGAAAGAAGGCTTTGAGAGCTTTTAAAATCCGTTAGCATTTAAAAGAAAACGAATGAAGCTTGGTAAAGCTGATCACTGTGTGGTTTGAGGAATTCACTTTTAGTCGAACTCACTTTTTGAACTATCACCTGTTACCACTTCACTCATTAGTACCTTTATTTTGGAGACTAAACTTAAATTTACTAGTATTCCTATGTTGAATTCATTCATTCATTCAGTTTATGGACCTACGAGGAGTCCCGAAGGCTGAAAATAAGAGAAAACTGCTAAATTGTAGACGGGTCTCACGGACGCCGATATACAAACCTTTATTGACAATAAACACCTAATCATTGTGTTAATCTACAGATTACACAGCCGGGATGAAATATGGGGAATCTCTGGGATAAAAGATTTTAGGACTCTCTGTGGGACAGATAATTCATTTATGCAAGAACAACATCTATGTAGTGAAAACAAATTAAATTTATTTAGAACACTATCACTTTACACTCTCTAAAATATTGGTATCAATAAATAAGTTCTATTTGTTTGGAAGTTCGAAATATAGCCTAGTAAAGTTAAATGAAGCTTAAGTCCCAATGATCCTGTAGTTCTCACAATTCAGATTTCAGAAGTAATGACAGATAGTTTTTGATGGATCAAGTGAAATCACATCACTTCCAGGAATGTTATTCATTATCACTCTAATGATGAATGTTGAACTGGCAGATAAAATGTTATAGCTTTGAAATTACTATACCCAAGTAGTATGAAAAAAATAGCTAATAAAATAATAAATTGACTTACTTCATAACTTGATCTTCTTACAATATGTTGTTCAGGCTGCTTCATTCCTTGTTCATCCATACTGAAATTAACTTCAGCACTTCTGTATAATTTATCTTCTTTTTTATTTGATCTAAGTAACTGTGATCCACCTGAAGTATATGGGCTACCACCAGAACTAGTTACACTAGGCATACTTATCGAGGAATCATGTGACTCTGTTGATCTTTGATGAACTAAACTTAACAGTGTATTATCTTCCATTGTTGTTGTAGTTGTAGGGGATATCGATGGTAATGTACTTGGCATGAAATCTCTACCAATCACATTACCACTTCTTACTAGGTAAGGTTTAGGACTCAGAGAACCTTTATGGTTGGTTTTGCATGTAGTATACCCTTCAGATGACAATTTATCACTTGTAGTAGTTTTAGTAGTCGGAGAAACTGTGCTCGATTTATTATCTACAGTATACTCAGGGCTTATGGAATCATATGAAAAGGTTAATGGATGCAAAGTTCTATTATATGGAGGTATTAAAGCGTTAGGTGAACCTTTACGCGGAGAGGTGGATAACGCTCGCATAGTTGTCGTGACATGTGCTAAATTCTTTTCAAAATTTGGTGAATAACTCGATTCACTTGGTGATACAGGCATTGATGTTCTAGAATCGACTGAGTCAGTTTTATGCATCACATTACGACTATAGGTTGAACGTGATGATTGAGGACTAGTTGTTGGGGAACTTTGATCATCAAACGATATTGTAGGCACAGAGGTTTTAGAGAATTGTTTACGTGCATTAAACAATCGAGTATTTACACGAGCAGTTGAAGAGTCTTCTGGATTTATTGATTTCTGTTCATATCGTATCTCCTCTGACCTATTCATTGTTCGTGGAGTCATTCTGTGTGTTAAACTACGCAACTGGCTACGTTTACTATTGATTCGACTTTGTTTTGTTAGTGTTGAATTCGACGATCTATTGAAAGCGGATTTTTCATTCTCCATTTGGTAGGTTGATTTTGATGTGCAACAGCTTCAAGTGGTAATCTTCAAATCACTCACTCACTACATAACTGATATTTTTTATCTTCAAATAAAAAATTTTTTAATTTAATTTCGAATTATTTTGAATTTATTCACTTTGTCATTAGTTAAAATGAAATTTCAGAGTTTGAGTGTCATTTACCATCTTTGAGTTTATCATCATCTAAGCCATGGAACAGGAGAAGTATACTGTAGGCGTCACATGACCAACGGAGATGATGTAGGAACTGAATAATACAAGACAGAAATCCGAGGAATTCAATCATACAATATTGATGATTATAATAATAATAAGACGTAACGTGTTCATCTCCATATCTTAGTGAATCATTCTCATGGTTACAACTAATTCATAAATGTGCGAAACGATTATTATTATTTCAGATGAAATTTAGAAATCAGGTTAATCCAAATAATCCACTGAAAAAAAATATAAATTTTAATAATTTCCATATATTTTTTATGCTATCGCAACGGTATTACCAAAAGTAGTAATCCGTTGAGATAGTTATTATTCTTAATAGTAAGAATCGGTGCCATTGTGTTTACATAGCGCGTTCAGACAGTCGATTTTTGAAAAATCGTTTGTGAATGGCTACTAGACATTGACAAGTATATTTTTAATAAGGTAATATCAACATTTCTGCGCATAAGAATATAAAGACAATCTTATATAAGGGTGAAAGATTAAGATTATGGTATAGTATATTTTATTTTTGACCGCACAGTTAGGCACACAGACACAAAACATGTACGCATAGAAAGAGACTTACGCAAACACACACACACACGCGCAGTAGTGAATTTTGGGACACGTAGACACGTACACAACTACGCCTTACAGAGGAGATACATAGAGAAATGTAAACCTGAATTTTGATTGGTATTTGCGTGTTTTAGGTTTTTTTTTAAACGACAAAGTTAAACAAAAAGAAAAGAAAACAAAAAAACTTTTCCTAACACTTTCGGCTTACTTGAAGGTGGAAAAAATAAAAGCAGTCAGTGTACATGTTAGTCTCTGTTTTGTGACATAATGACAAGAGAAAGTACAAAATTTTATTGAAACTATCTCAAGGAAGATAAATAATAAATTATTTTATAGAATAAAATTACATAAACTTTGTGTTGTGGTTTATGTAAGCAATGACAAACTTATTATCATTTATTGACACAAATAATTTGAAATTCAAACAAAGTTTACCACTCTACGTTTATGTATCCATGATAAAATAGGTATTAAGCGACATTGAAGAGCAGCTAATGAACACATTTTAAGAATACATTTGTGTAAATGGTATGTATGTGTACACACACACATACACCTCAAAAATGAGGTTGCATAACATGTGTGGACTAATATTTGCAATTGCGTCGGTAGCACAGTGGTTAGGACTCTTGCCGACCATGCACATGGTCCGAGGTTCGATCCCCTGCCGACGCACACCTGATATCTACGTTCGACCTGCAAAATTCGGGTGTACCGATATCGCATGCTGAAAATTTCATACTTGTACCAAAAATACAGTGTAGAATCAAGCTATAATCAAAAAAAGTGCGCAAATGCTGGGTATATCATGTAACAAAGTAGGAACCACTGAATGCATTATTCCTTATAGCTCAGCATACTTCCGCTAGTCACAAACAGCACAAACTTATTCCATTCATATCTGTGGTACTGTTCAATAAAAATAACATACCAAGGAAAATGCATAACTACCTCAACAATGCCATCAGATAGCTATAAGAGCAAACAGTTTCTCAGGTACAAAGTAGGAAGTGCTTGGTAAAGTTAACTGACCAAACACAAGTATAAATTATTTGAGAATCGATAAGAAGATTACCAACAAAGTAAGATCGAAGCTGTGTCTGAAAGAATCGAACAAAAACAAACGCATTTCCAGCAAACAGTTCATGGTCAATGGGTCACTGCAAAGATTGACCTTGACTTCATTGAAACAAAATCTCAGTCATAAAACAACCCATTATCAACACCACAGGTAGCGTTAAAAATAAGGATTAAGTCAAAAGAGGTATGCAAACCTTACAACAGTGATATACAGCTTAGGTGGAGAAAGTCGAATGTTTGAATCCTACTACTGTAACAACAAAAGGCAAGACACAGAAGCTAAAGTATATTTTATCAATCATACCGCTGTTTATATATCTACAGTTTATATTCTTTAACCAATCACTGAGCGTGTGATTTCGATTCACATCAAACGACATGAAATACAATGTTGAAATATACATAGTATTTTGTTGGTAATTCAGTAAATAACCATGGGAAAAGTATTTTGTCTCTAACATCAAACAGGTGCGTCGGTGGTACAGAGGTTAGGACGCTCGCCTACCATGCACATGTTCCGGGGTTCGACCCCCTGCCGACACACTCCTTTACCTCACTAGTAAAGAGAAAAGGTTGGGCATGAGGCTAGCAGCCCCATCCTGTAAAAATAAACACTACTAGAGAAACTTCAAGCCACTAGCTTGAGGCCCTATGTTCCACTGGGAACGTGAAGGAAAAGAAACATCAAACAGAATGTTCAAATAGATGTATTGTATTATATTGCTATTTCCGACTTGAACTGTGGGAGTATGTAAGGATAATATTCCGTTTTCACAAATTATCTGTCTCACCACCACACTACGACCCAGATTTTTATTACATCCTCAGTCATTATTCATTTGTGCGAAATAAAAGTATGTTGCATTTTAGTGCTTAAATTATAGGATTCTATCAATTTTCAGTATACTTGCTTACTTCAGATGGTCGTTTAGATGCTCGTATTTGACCACAGTTACCTGAACCCTTAAATCACTAACCAAATCTATGGAATTTTTGGTCATGAACTAAGTCTCAACAACAGATTATATGGTGTTATTGCTGAAGCTATCATGAGAACTGGTGATGAAATCTTCACAATCAAATAACAAAATTCAGAGAAAATCAAATAATATCTATTCGCATAAGGAGCTTCAACGCGGGTTAACTAGACTGGTTTGATGAATAATTCAGTAACCTTAAAATTATTTAAATCTTTCCTCTGTTATTTAACTAGTGACTAGATCGCACACATTTTATTTAAAGTAGCATATTACTAGTGAATGAGTACACATGTCATTTTATACTGGCTGTTTACATTCTACCATAGATCATTTTGGAAAAATTAGTCGGAGTTTTCAAGTGCATACTCGTGATCATTCTTTAATAGATAACTGGGATGAAAAAAAAAGACGGGGAATACAATTTGTTTTAAAAATAAGAAAACGTCGGAAATTGTGTCATCACTTTTTTCCTAAATAGAAAGCCACATAGCTTTTATAGGTTTACGTTGTAAAGCATGTTATTAGAGCAATCAAATACATTAATGTTAACAAAACATGTGGATCAGCGAAGAGTCTCTGTTCACCGGCGAATTCATTTTCTTAGCTGTACAATCGCAAATATAAATCTGTTATTTTGTATGTGTGTGCACATTAAGTTTGTCAAACAAAATTACAATTGGTTATGGTTATTTTAACTAAACAGGTGAAGATTAGTAATTGAAGTTACGTAATACAAAATCGGTCAAGAAAATAGGGTGTAGGGTAGTGATGGGTTGTTACAAACAGTTGTTAAAAAGAAGTTATTCAATAATACGAATAGTCTGATGACTGAGTTTTACTCAGGATACACACAGGAACAAAGTAGAGAATGCAGAATTACGTAAGAGTTCTAAATGAATACTAGAATTATAAGCCATTAAGGAAACAGGCAAACAAACAAAACTAATTACAGGATTTCATCATGAGCTGACATTGGTTAGAGAACCATTGGAAGACCTGGAAGTACTGGAAAGCTGTTTCGTCCTAGCGTGGGACTCTTCATCAATACGCACCCACCGCCACGGTTCGAACCCACCGGGACCCGATATAATGGCCCATGAATTCTAACTTCTGCCAATTCACGATATAGCACGACCACTAGCCAATGTCTTTAGCAAGTATTTGTCCTCACACCAAACCTGCTGCACCCTACTGCTCACTAGAACCCCTGGTAACTACCTCTACCTGAATATGGCAAGTCGCTAGTGAGCATCTCATCGATATTCAAGTTTTGGTTTGTAGGGATTTGATTGGTTACAGGATTTCATCATGAGGTCCTGGGCTCGAACCCTGTTGGGTGCGTACTGCTGAAGAGTTCCAATCTAGGACGACACGGTTATCCAGTACTCCCAGTTGGTTTTCCAATGGTTCTTTAACTAGTGTCAGCTCATGATGAAATCCTGAAACCAATCAAATCCCTACAAACCAACACCTGAAAACAAAATTAAGGTATTAAAAATCAACAAACTTGTTATCATTACAGTAAAAGTTGTTGAGTAATTCTCTTGTGTATGCTCATTCAAATACATGAAGAAAAATTTAACCAAGCCCTAGTTTACTTATAATCTTGAGTTTGAATGGACTAGTAATATGTCTTATGCTGTCTGTTGGATATCTAGAGCTGCTTCTTGACCGCCACTATCTCAGCTAACAATCTGTAGAAAATAAAATGGAGATATACGATGAATGCGAGTCAAATACAGAGAAAGATATTGGCAACGTTTCAGGTATCTGCGTCGACCTTAAGCAATGCATAAGAAGGGTGAAAGTATAAGGGAAGTTGATATTCCGTTAGAACGCACAGCATAAAGAATGAACTAGAATTTCGATAATTTTTTCTGGCATATATTTGAATGACTTCACAGTATACCTGACGGGATCAGAGTAAATATTCCGTTTAAACTACCCAGCACCTCATTTTTGTTTTTTATATAAATTCACTAAATATGTCTAATCCAGCTTCAGGTAATGACATCGTAGTTTCTTTATTCAGTATCCTATGAAGCAGAAAGAGTATTATTTGCTTTCTTTTTAATCTCTATATATTCATTATAATAAAGGTTATTGTATTTCCCAATGAATGAAAAACAAAACGATGTTGTTTTTACTGACGTTTCGCTATTTAATGCTAATAGCTTTATCAAAGTATTATTAAACCGGAATTTACAAAATCTCAGCATATATATAACAAAGACTTAAGGGGTGAGAAAATAGACTTAGGTCAAGTTAAAAGGACTTATTGAAAGTCAAAATAACAATGAAGATAACTAAACTAAATACCAAAGGTAATAGTACATCTGTTACGATATTAAAACAAGGTTTACTAACTTGATCATCGTTCGTCAGTATGGGGTCATTTTTCGTCGTCAAGTTGGTCAATTGGTAAAGGTAACAAAACCAAGTGTAGCTTCTTGAATTTGATCAGTGTGTAAAATTATAATAGCAGTGTGTGTTTACATAGTGAACTTGCTTATCACATTCGTGTTGATTTTGTCACTTCATGGGGAGGGAGGTGTTGTAACCAGGTCAGATTTTGTTTTAGTGCATCCTTCCTGTTCAGTTCAGGCAATTCGGATTCCACTTGACATGAAGTGCTTCTGATATTAGACGTTCTTCGTGATTTCTGAAGTTTTTCTGGATTACTTCAATATTGTCGAAATCAATTTTGTGACCTGACTGATTCTATAGCGTGTAGAACTATGGCTGATGATTTTTCAAGTTTTTCTAGATCAATTGGATTTCTCGGTGGCCGAAGAGATGATCTATGGTGTTCATTTCTTCTGATTTTGATTTCTCGATATGCCTGTCCGATGTATATCGCATCACATTCCAAGCATTTT